TGCGCTCAGTCAATCGTTTGAGCGGAGAAGCTTTAAAAGAGGCCAGGCCACAATGAAAAAAGGCTAGAGTGGAAGATAATGAGTATTTTGAAGAAGCAGAAGGTATACTGTATGGTGCAGGCATCGCAGAATAAGGTAAAGTCAGACTTTTTTAAAATTAAAAAAAAAAATACTTTAAACGCGTTTTTCTCGAAACAACGTTTTTTCGGTTGGCGGGCATATCTCCGAAACTACTCAACCGATCCTTCTGAAATTTTAACCACATACTCTATACATGAATGGCTATCTCGCATGCTACAACCAAGTCAAAATATTTATTTTTACTATTTTTTTTTTACAAAAAACTGCGAAAAAAATCGTTGATATTTTTATTTTTCGAAAAATGGCGTCATTTTGTTTTGTTTTCATAAAAATTGATAGTTTTAGCATACCCGATAGCCATTGTCATACTGAATTTAAAACCGTTTAATTTTTTTGTTTTAGATCACCCGTTCTCAAATTTCGATGCCCGCCGACAGCATACCTACTTTTGAAGGATTCACGTTTGTCAGCCATTTTGGATATCAAAAAACGTTAAAAACAATAAAAAAAAATTTTTTTTTTGTACTTTTAGAGTGTATTTATCATACCCAACAACTTTCATATATATATGTATCCTACAAAGCCTAAAAAAAAATCGTGAAAATAGCCTTTTTTTTCGGCGTATAAACCAGAATGAACTTTTAATAACGAAAATCAATCTGTTTGTTTATTCTTCTTAGATTTCTGATAAGATTTCTAGAAAACAATAAAAATTGACTCTAGTAAACTTGCATGTTGTAAATCTTACGAATAGCAAAAATCTATTTCGTATGTATATACATTGTTTATAATATTAACGCATAAAACGAATTAAAAAAAATCATGTGTGCAGATCACACGTGTTAGAAGTGAAACCTTTAAAAATCTAAGTTTCGAGAGAATGAGACGAATGCACAGTTTTAAGAGTAACATAATTGTAGGATTTATTTATTATAATATTATTACCATATATAATAAAGATCACCGGTATGGTCTCTGGGTGGAATAGCTGACAAAAACTAACATTTTCAAAATTCTATCTATCAAGATGTAATGACGAATGCGATAGCCATAGATAGAAACAAAAATGGTAGAATGTTTATCGGTGGAAAGATACATTGTCCTAACCTAAGTAAATATAATATATTTTTTTTTGAAACTCATGTAGATGAATTTTTTCTTTCACACTTTTCATACTTTCTATGAATTTGAGATATCTTTGTAATGGGTTAGCACACACAAGTATTTATTTTTGTGTTGCAACTAATACCTGTAGATGCTGTAAAAGAAGGGAACAATTGTGGTCGTATTTTTTTCGTTTCATCGGGTTTTAAATTATAACGATTTTAAAATCTATTTATCATTTCCGTTGTTTTATTTTATAATATTAAAAAAATTTTTTTTAAATTTATATTCTATTTTTTTTCTATATATGTAAAATAAGTTATATTATTGTATTTTTTTTTTGAAATATAAAGTAAATAAGGTTTATTTGTTTTTGTCGCGTTTCTAGTTTCTTCTATTTAAAAACTTTTCTGTTTTATTGAAAACTTAGAATAAATTTCCTAAATACGCAAACATTATAATTAAAAAACATGTCTTTGGATATTTACAAGAAAAGTATTCTACAATGTTGTTTAATTTTTTTTCTCCGATTTATCTCATAATTATTTCATTTTTTTTTAAATATTGCAGACAATACTATTATTATATTCTATATATTTCGTAATTGTTAATAACAATATTTGCGAAATAAATAATTTAAGATTAAATTTTCAATAAAATAGAAACATTTTTAAATAGAAAAGAAATACCATGATTGGTAAAATAAAAACAGACGACGCACCTTCTTTCTTTATTTCGACCGTCGGTTCGTTTGGACCTTATACTTTTGTCGCACACCTACGTACTTATCTCTGTTTATTCCTTCTACCCTTCTATCGCTCCTATCTGCAAACATTTCGAGTATCGAAAGAATACGTGTCTATGCTTTGTATGCAGTCGCAACAAACCCACACATATACAACCAGGAGCGATAACTACGAAGCATAGCATAAAGAGAAGACCGAGAATAGGAAAAACTGTATAGCCATATTCCGTCTCTCTCTCACGCAGGCTCAATCCTATATGTTTGTCTCTTTCTCACTCGTTATTTATTATAGCAGCCGTTACATAGCTGCGTTTCCGTTTATTTACTTTCCAGATCACTCCCATTCTAAAGAAGTTTTCACTTCAAAAAAACCTTAAATTATGATATTTTGAAAAAAAATTCATATCGAAAAATCTAGACGTGATAGAAAAAATCAGCTATCGGGAACAGATACAGAGCATCAAAATCTTCATATTTATGACATAATTTTTTGAAGGAGGATTTTGTTGCAGACCAGTGTTATTGGTCTAATACTGATACATTTTACTGTTTCAATGATTTAAAAAAAAAAATATAAACTGATAAATACCGAAAATTAATTTTTCAATAATCTTACACGAATGGAACGTATATTTCATTCTGTATATATATATAGACATTGGCGGGCGCAGGATGATGTCCGAGACCTCCTGAGCGACCTCCGGCGGTAGGCTTGTCAACAAATTGTGGAAAGGTGCATCCCCACCCCAACCCTCACTCCCACCATCACTCCCACCATCACTACCACCCCCACGATCTCCCGTCGAACGATCGTTTCCATCGTTTTCATGATAGGGTTTGGGGGAACTTGATGAGTAAAAAAAAAAAAACAGGTCATCAACTTTAAAAAAGTTGGACTTGGATGCTTTTTCCACATTTTGAAAATTTCGTATGACAAATTACAGTAATTCGTACATTTCATATATTTTATTCGCTCTGTTGTTTACTGCTTAACGCGAAGCACCTCCCACTCACCACCCTAGTTCCCCTACACCTGTGACACTGCGACAGTCACACATAATACAATGAAACACATAAATCCGAAACTTGAAGACACTTTTTTTTTTTTTTACTCATCAAATTTGCACACGAGTCGCTTCTACGGTTAACGGTTAAACAAAAGTTGAAGAGATGAACAACGTACAAAACAGAAGACACGAAAAAAATATGAGGATATATGACGATATATGAAGATACATGAAGATGTATGACGATATAAAGAAAACAAGCTAAGAAGCAAGAAGACAGAAGAAAATGAAGAAAAGAAGCAAGAAGACAGAAGAAAATGAAGAAAAGAAGCAAGAAGACAGAAGAAAACTGAATAAACGGTTGGAAAAATTGCTACAGAGCAGCATAGCACCATTTGCATACCAGCAATACCTCAGAAAGCATC